GCGAATGGTATCGCCCGTAACCAGTCAAGCGTGAAAAATCTTTGACAGAAAGTCTTTGTGTTTCGGATCAAACTTTTCCACCACCCGAGGCATAAAATGTGTCAATAGACCAAGAACTTTTTAAATGGTTGAGGAATTACTGGAAAATTACCTCAAAATGGACGCCAAAATGGCCTTTTCGGAGAAATGGGCCTACTTTCGAAGGTATTTTTCCACCGTCAATCAAAATATTTCGGGTCGAGTGGCTTTCCGAAAACTTCGACATACAGGACATCATGATCTCTTGCTAGGCTGAAAGTTTCAAGGTGGTAGATGAAAGGCTTCCCTACCCGCTGACCAGTAACAATGCTGAAAAAGGGTCCCATTACATTCAAATTGGCATGCCATGCAATCTAGCAGCAAATTATGAAATCAAACTAGTGGGTTTTTTTCGCAACTGCTTATAGTATAACAATAACCTAATATTTTGGAAGCATAGAATCTTTACTGTTCACAAAATGTAAAGTAGATCAGATGTAACCATGTTGCCACCCATTGGCATACCTATTTCTACTCATTTAATCTGCAATGACTATAATTATATTTTAACCAAAGGATGAGATATTTTGCAAAGAAAGAGGTGGTACAATGACACAAGAGGGAGGTACAGAAAGATCATTCAATCGTCTTATCTATAGTTTATACGTTAATAAACACATTTTCACACAGTAATTTTGGTGGCTACACACGCTGCATGTTCATTATATCATACATTGGGTATACTTGGTGTACAATACTTGGTGTATAAATCTGACGATATATAACCGATGATACATTGGGTATACTTGGTGTACATGGCGTATGCTCGATATGTAGGGGGTATACTTGTTGTACCCCGTATACAGGGTGTATACTTGTTGTACTTGGTGCACAGGGCGTATGCTTAATGTATACCATGTATAATGTATAGAAATATACGTACGCGCGGTATCGTCATATAAGCTAATATACGCGCGGTATCGTCATAGGCTAATATCTCGCGAACGATTTGAGTTACATTTCTAAAATTCTAGATGCATATAAACACGTCTTAGCTATGATTTCTGTGAATTTTGAGTTTATTGAAGCACGACTAGTTTAATTAATTACTAGAAATATACGTACGCGCGGTATTGTCATAGGCTAATATCTCGCGAACGATTTGAGTTACATTTCTAAAATACTAGATGCATATAAACACATGGTTTCGCACCTGGTTACCACGCCAGCCGGCGTCGTGTGAAATACTGGTTAAACAACTGACTTGTTGCCAGTTCCTGGATATGCTAATTGATTGTAAACGAGATCTTGTCTGTTTATATGTTGTTGTTAAACAGATTTGTGTTCGGTGACTAATCGCGGCGCGTGTGTGCGTTTGTGTTTGCGTGTGTGTAAACGAGATCTTGTCTGCGTATTGTTGTTAAACAGATTTGTGTTCGGTGACTAATCGCGGCGCGTGCCGTGTGCGTGCGCGTGCGCGTGTGTGCGCGTGCGTGCCGTGCGTGTGTGCGTGTGCATGTGCGCGTGCGTGTGCGTTTGTGAGAGAGAGAGCTAGAGTGAAATGAAGCATTGTGAAAATTTTCGAATTCAATGAACAATAACACTGAACACGTAACATTTCTTTTACTCAGCGTATATACATGTTTAATTAGGACTTTTTTTTTACCGATTGATTAATACAATATTGTTAATACAATTAATACAATTAAATACAATATTTGCAGAGACAGGGTTGCCCTGTATGTCGAAGTTTTCAGAAAGTCAATAGACCAAGAACTTTTTAAATGGTTGAGGAATTACTGGGAAATTACCTCAAAATGGACGCCAAAATGGCCTTTTCGGAGAAATAGACCTAGAAGAATTAGAAAGAATTATTTAGAAATGGGCCTACTTTCGAGGGTATTTTTCCACCGTCAATCAAAATATTTCGGGTCGAGTGGCTTTCCGAAAACTTCGACATACAGGACATCATGATCTCTTGCTAGGCTGAAAGTTTCAAGGTGGTAGATGAAAGGCTTCCCTACCTGCTGACCAGTAACAATGCTGAAAAAGGGTAATCTTATCCATGCATGTTCCAGGATAAAATCCTGTACATCCAGTTAACCAAGGATATGAAGGCGTCCACATCCAGGTGTACTGGTAGGTTGTCCGTTCCTGGACTTGCCACCAAATACATCGATCTCTGGAATTGCCTGATAAAAATTTTGTCCCCCAGCTTGATCGCCATGATCAGAACCCATTCCTTTGCACTGACTACCACACCAAAATGTATATTCTGGGTGTGCATGTGACACAACATTTGAGTGAAACACTTTACCAGTGCATCTCCCGTATTGTCCCCAGGTCGTTTGATCTCCATATTCAGTGCAAAATATTTGTCAAATATGTCATAGACGATCACACCCGGCACAATGAAGTGCTTCACTTCTTCCTGTACTGATGATGTTGGGGACTCTGGTGACCCAGGCACATACTCGTCCTCGTCCATCAGAATGTACTGGGAAATGCTGAGACTCGAAGCCACTGGATTCTCTACATAAAACTGTCCAGTAGCTGAGAGATCCTGGAGCATCCTGTCGAGCAGTTCCTTAAAGAATATCTTGGTAGGTCCATTGGAAGTGTTATCAGCCAGCGAGTTTCTCAGGAGTCCAAACAGTTGGTCCATGGCTGGAATAAAAAGCAGAAATTGCAATACAAGGCTTTGTAACTCTTAAGGGGAGACCCCCTGTTGACTGGCTAAAAATGTAAATATAAGGTTATTAGGGCTGATACTTTGTGGGAATGACCCGGGGGAACTAAAATAATTATTCGTGGTGCGTGACCTTGGGTCAAAGTCAAAGGTCATTTCTCAAGGTCATATGATGGGTCTAAAATAGGGTGTTAGTTAATTAGTTAATTATTAATAATTATCATAAGTCAACAGGGGGTCTCCCCTTAAGACAGGCTGCATGGATTCACTAAGGGGCTGCAGCGATATGGCGCACGCACGGACAATGGGGGACTAACCTGGAGTAGACGGTGTAGTAGTGATCGGTTGTGTGCTCCTATGTGGCCCCATAGCTGTCTCACACTTGTAATTTGCTTCAGTAAGCAGTTTTTTGAGTTCTGTTCCTGGTGCCCATTCACTGGACATGTCGAACATTCCACAATTGCCATCCACTGTCTTCTTGAAGTTTTCTTCAGAACAAAACTGGTTTACTGGGTCTGTCAAGTTCCAGCTGGAGGAGGTAGGATGGAATATTACTTTCTCCGGATAGATTGATTGGGTGTTAGACATCTCCACAACATGAGTGGCACGGTAGTCTGTCTGCCATCCCTGGAAACAAAATCAGCAATTTATGTGTATATGAAACTCATATCGTCCATGGGTAGTGGTAGGGCCTACTCTACCCCCTAGTCACTATAGGAAGGGGGTACATTGGAAACTCTTGCCAATGAGGAGTGCTAGTCAATGAACGCTGCACCTGAAAAATGCCCCCAGGATGGGACCTGACTTTAACGGTCCAATTCAAACCTCAAAGAGAAGTAGCATTCATTTAACACTGGTGATGCATCCACAGACTAGGAGCTATGTCATTTTATTATGCAAAGGTAAATTTTTGATATAAATTGCTACTACTTTTTCACTTTTAGAGTTAGCGATCTGAACAGAAGGCCACAATTAGCCTGCTACATGTTCTTCAAAAAATTGGGAGCCGATTTTTTATTTGGGGTGCCTTTTTATTTTTTGTTACCATAAAAAAAATTCCCGCAAAGAGGAACTATGGCTAGACCATACTGGCAAAACGTACCCATTGCTATCTGAAATAAGGCTTGTACTTTAATATTAAAGTGCCAATTTTGGCCCATTACTCTTTAAATTAAGATTGAAGTGGTGCAGGGTCCATTGACTAGCACTGTAGACTTTTGACATCAATAATACGCCATAGGGGGGCGCCAATATATGGTCGGGATTACATTGACTAATTACATTACTAATTAATTACATTACTAATTAATTTGATGAATGGTTCTATTTCAAGTTGCCATGGGTTGGAGAGCTGGTCAGAGATTGAAACTGGAAAGGGGAGGTATCTAATGGTGAAAGGGGGGGGGGTACATAAGAAAGTCTTTCCCAGGTGAGAAGAAGGTGCAAATGATAAATGTACTACAATATCGCCGAATCGAGCGGTTGGTCGAAGTCCTGAATACAAGGCTGAAGATATAGCTGTCGCTTCAGCCTTGAATCGGTCAATGCAAACTCTCGGGGAAAACAGCGCGGCACAGATTCTCAGCCGCTGCTGTGTAGAAATCAATGCGCCCAGTCATGCAGAGCCTACGTGACCTGTCACTGTCAGCAGCGCCTGAGAATCTGTGCCGCTGTCTTCCCCGAGAGTTTGCATTGACCGATTCAAGGCTGAAGCGACAGCTATATCTTCAGCCTTGTATTCAGGTAGGGACGTCAGACCAAATATATTGCTGATATATTGATTTTCAGAAAAAACTAACTAAAATGAAGTTGGCACAAAATGGCATACCATATTGGGATGCACAAACATGTGTGGAATAGACCTGTTGAGTTTTTAGAGCTCTTTTGCAGTTTTGCAGCTCATTTGAGCGCCAGTACATTAATAAAAAAATAAGTGGGGTACCAGTCATGACATAATTGTCATTTAAAAATGACCCCTGCACCGTATATACACAAAATTGGTATTTTTGGACTTCTTAAAAACTATACAATCAAGAAACAATACCGGGGGCAGTCCTTGTGTTTTGGAAAAAGCAGGCGAGTGAAAAATCGCACACCTTGGCTCGCCGAGGTGTGTGATTTGCATCGGAGTGCCCGCAGGTCACGAGGCAAACTAGGGGTGTTCGGTGGCATGCCCCCCCGGGAAAAAATTGAAAACTAGACTTCATGAAATGCCATTTCCAGCATTTTGGGCTAAAAATTAGCTCTGCATTTGTACTATTAATTTTGACATTTTTTAGGTGATTTTTTTTCCATCTAACAAAATATCAGTTCTTGGACATGTGGATAACTTGAATCACACATTTAGCATGTTTAGTCAAAAAGGAACAACACTCAATTTTTCAAAGTAGACTATTAAAACTTTATCTAAAAATACAACCAATCACATTCGTCATTCTAGAGCGCTTTGCGACTGTCGTTATAAACATGTGAACCGACTTCCGGCAATGTCTGTGATGTTTACAACCATTTGCATTTAGCTTCGCGTTTATAAGTTGAATTAATGGGAAAAAAAGAAAAGAAAAAAAAGTGCGTTTTGATAATGCTTAGGTGCGCGTTTTTTCGCACTTCTCGTGATCAATCGAGGCGCGCGATGGCGCGCGATCGCGCTCGCGCACCTTAAAACACAAGGTCTGCGGGGGGGGGGGGTGGCATGGAGGTGCCCATATCAAATATCACTAAATTTTTGCCCTCATATCAGATATCATTAATGGGTTTTTGGGCCCAAACAGTCCCCACTGCTGGCAGCAATCAGTATGTATGCCCTACATATTTTTCTTTTCTTTTTACTTTCCCTACATTTGTGGTCAAATTCTTTAATTTGGGCCCTATATGAGTTCCAAACGATCAAAACGACTTTGGATATGAGTGGGGGGTGAAAAGCTAGGTTGAATATTGGTATTACACAAAGAAATCTGTTGAGAAATGACAAAGTTATGCAATTTAGAAATTTTACCCATTTTCGGGTCCAAATTTTTTAATTAGGGGTCCTATTAGTCCAAAACGACTTTGGATATGAGTCAGGGGTGAAAAACTAGTTTAAATACTGGTGTTACACGAAGAAATCTGTTGAGAAATGACAAAGTTATGCAATTTAGAAATTTTACCCATTTTCGGGTCCAAAATTTTGAATTAGGGGACCTAAGTCAAAAACGACTTTGGATATGAGTCAGGGGTAAAAAACTAGTTTAAATACTGGTATTACACGAAGAAATCTGTTGAGAAATGACAAAGTTATGCCATTTTGAAATTTTACCCATTTTCGGGTCCAAATTTTTTAATTAGGGGCCCTAAGTCCAAAACGACTTTGGATATGAGTCAGGGGTGAAAAACTAGTTTAAATACTGGTATTACACGAAGAAATCTGTTGAGAAATGTCAAAGTTATGCCATTTTGAAATTTTACCCATTTTCGGGTCCAAAACTTTCCAATTTAGGGCCCTAAATTAAAATTCGGCTCTCAACATTTTTTTCCCCCATGAGTTGGACTAGCTATATACCAAATATCTTGTTCATCAAAGCAAAACTGAATGAGGAGATATATTTTGAAATTTTAACCCTTTTTGGGCCCTGCGACCCATTTGGGGCCCTAAATCAAGATTCTGCTTCCAACAAATTTTGGCCCTTGGGTGGGGCTAGATACATGCCAAATATCTTTTTGATCCTAATAAAACTGAAGGAGATAGATTTTGCAATTTTGCCCCTTTTAGGGCTCTACGGTCCAATTGGGGCCCCAATCCCCCAGAAAATTGGGGGCATATTTTAGCCCTTATTATTATGAATATTACTGCCAAGTTACAGGGCAATCCCATCAAAACTGTAGGAGTAATTGAACTTTTAGTGAAAGTTGTCCACGGACAGACACAGACACAGACATACACAGACGACAGACTCGGTCGGTGCCCTATACCATAGTACTCGCAGTGGGGACTAAAAACAGGCGTTTTTGGGTTGGTCACGGGTAGGACTTAGGCAATGAACACCATGTTGCTCCAAAGACTCCACATGAAAATCACAAAGGAGACAAAGTGAACAAAAGGTCTCCTCATTTCAATGTCTGTTTGTCCACTGGGGACTCTACACATACAGTAGCAGAGTAAGCAATCAATACAAAGTTTTAATAAGGGGACCCAATCAGAACAGTAACATGAGGGCGATGAGGCATTTAAGTATTCAAAATAACCATATGGGGCCATATACAACCTTATAGGCCAAGAGTATTAGATTTTCTGTCATTATGAAATAGAAAAAAATATTAGAAAGCTGAAAACTTCAGGAATAGTACTTCAATATGTCTGGATTCAAAATCCAGAGTCCCTAGCACTCCCCACCTTGGCTTCGTCAGAATTCAAGAGGGCGACTGGCGGCCATCTTGGAAACGCAGACTTAAATAACTTTGTTAATATTCAGAGTAAATCAATGTTATATATTATCTCTTATATAAAGGGCGAGCCTGTTTTGTGTCTGTCTGTCTGTCTGTCTATCTTCTCCCCCCACGTAAGAGTTCACTCCCAACACCATATATATTCTGAATCAGCATGACCCGACGACCATTTTAGGTAAAAAAAAATTGACCAAAAAAGTTTGACCAAAAAAATGTGACCAAAAAAATTTGAAAAAAATAAATTTGACAAAAAAAACGTAGCGGCCTCTTCTTCTTTGACACTCCTGGCGGAACAGGCAAGACCTTCGTTACCAACCTTCTTCTGGCCAAGGTCAGGCAGACGAGGAAGATTGCCTTGGCAGTTGCTTCAAGCAGCATTGCTGCCACCCTGCTGGACGGAGGGCGCACTGCTCACTCGACCTTCAAGCTGCCATTCAACCTGGCAAAGCGGCAAAATCCAACCTGCAACATCAGCCGTGGCTCCACAAAGGCCAAGCTGTTCCAAGAGTGCAAGCTCATTATCTGGGACGAGGCAAACAATGACCCACAAAGCCGCCTTTGAAGCACTCGACAACACCCTACAAGACCTTCGGCACAACACAAACGTCATGAGAGGTGTGCCTCTCCTGCTCTCAGGCGACTTTCGCCAAACCTTGGCAGTTCATTGCCAAAGGAACAAGAGCAGATGCTGTCAATGCCTGCATCAAGTCGTCGTACCTCTGGAGCGAGGTGAACCGCCACAGCCTGAAGACCAACATGAGGGTGCAGCTCAGTGGCGATGAAGAAGCTGGCCGCTTCTCTCAGCAACTGCTGGAGGTCGGCAATAGCAGACTCACCACCACAGCTGATGGCCAAGTCAAGCTGCCATTCAGCAACGCAGCGACGGACATCAGCCAGCTGATGACTAAAGTCTTTCCAAAGCTCCACCTACGCTACCAAGACCAAGACTGGTTGAGCAAGCAAGCCATCCTCAAGGGCAAGGGCGAAAATGTCTTCATCCAAAAGATCCCGCTCATCCCATCCGACCTGCCATTTCAGTTCAAGAGGCTGCAGTTTCCAGTCAAGCTAAGCTTTGCCATGTCCATCAACAAGGCCCCCAGGCCAGTCCCTCAAGGTGGTTGGACTCAACCTCAGTGAGCCAGTGTTCTCCCATGGCCAGCTCTATGTGGGGTGCTCCAGAATGGGTAACCCAGACAACCTCTACA